GGGTGGAGGGTGCTGGGGGGTTGTGCGTCTGGGTGCTTTGGGTTGGGGTGGGGAGGGCACGGACAAGTGGGTACCTCCGGGCAGGGGGGTCTGGGGGCCTGGATGTGGGGGTTGTTTGGGGGATTTGGGAGCCCTGGGTCCTTTGGGGTGGGGAACTCAGTGGGGTTTTTTTGGGGGAGGGAGGGAAGTGCTCTGGGTGTGCAGATTCCTGGGGAGCTCAGGGTGGGATTCTGGGGTCCTTTGGAGGGAGGGAGGTCTTTGGGCCTGCAGATGCTGGTGTGGCTCTTGGAGGGGGGAATCTTTTTTTGGGGGGTGCGGACATAGGGGTCCCTCCTGGCTGGATGGGGAGGCCTCCCAGACCCTCAACCACAACCCTTTCCCTTGCCCCCAGACCCGACATCCTGAAGCCAGAGGTGCTGCTGCCCAAGCTGGACGCGGCCATGGCGCAGGTGGCCCTGCCGGGGTGTCCCAAGGGCCCCCCGTCCCCCGGGCGCAGCCGCCGGGCCAAGGGGCGTCACCGCAAAGCGGGACCCCGGGGGGGTTGCGGGGAGCTGGGCCCCGAGGCCGGAACCCCCCGGGGGCTCCCCGTGCCCCCCGCCACCGCTGCCAGCCCCGACATCCTCGGGGGCACCCTGGAGGCCGCGGGTGCCCCCCCGGCCACGGTACCTGACGCGGGACCCGAGGGGGCCACGGGCACCCAAGGGTCCCCCCCGCCGCAGCCCCCGACTCCCGGGGAGCCTGAACGGGAGAGCGGGGCCGGCCGGGGGGGGAAAGGGGGGGCCGGGCAGCACCTCACCCCCGCGGCTCTGCTGTACCGGGCGGCCGTCACCCGCGGGCAGGTGAGACCCCCCGGACACCTGGGTCCGTCTTTTGGGGGCTGGGGGTGGGGGACACACACACACAGGGCAGGGAACCCGGGTCCTTCCCAGGAGTGGGAGGTGGGATGGATTCCTTCTGGGGAGAGGTTTGGTTCCCTCCTGAGGAGGTTGGGGGGGGGTCAGGACTCCTGGGTCCCTCTTGGGGTGGAGGGTGGGGGGGTCAGGGCTCTGGGTCCATCCTGAGGGGCAGCAGGACCCCAACACCGCCCTCCTTTGCCGCCAGAAGCGGGGGGTCTCATCGGAGGAGGAGGAGGGTGAAGTGGACAGCGAGGTGGAGCTGCCACTGCGGCAGAGGTGGGTGTTGCCCCCCCCCCCGTGGGTGCTTTGGGTTGGGGGGGGGGGACACCAACACGTGGGTTCCTGCAGGTGAGGAGGGGTCATTTAAGGGACTGGGAGCGCTGGGTCCTTTGGGGTGGGTGTTTCTGGGGTCTTTCGAGGGGGGAGTGAGGGGAAGTGCTCTGGGTGTGCAGATGATGGGGGAATTTAGGGTGGGGGGAGGTCCATGGATGCTCAGACACCTGGGAGGGTGGAGGGGTCTGTGGGGTGCCCAGGCACCTGGAAGGGCACAGGAGGTGTCCAATGGGTGCTCAGACACCTGAGAGGGGTGCGTGGGTGCCCAGACCTGTGGGTCCTCACCCCTCGCCCCCCACCCAGGTGGCCCCCGGGGATGAGCAAGCGCCAGTCGCTGTCGACCTTCAGCTCGGAGAACTTCTCGGATGGGGACGGGGACGAGGGGCACACGAGCGAGCCCTCCCACAGCGCCACCCCCGACGTGGGCAGCACCAACACGGACGAGCGTCCCGACGACCGCTCCGAGGACCTGCTCTCCCAGGGCTCCGAGATCCCCCTGGACGCCGCTCCCCCCGAGGGGCCCGGCCGCCGGCACGGGGGGCTCAGCCCCAAGGTGATGCCCCCCTCCACCCCATCCACCCTGGGCAGCACCCACTGCCCTCCCAGGGGTGGGCGCCATGGGGTGGGGTCCCCTGAGTTCCCCCCGAATGGGATTAGCAAGGGGAAGGGGGTCTCCAGGGCACCACTGGGGCTGGGGGGGGGGGGTGTCCCCCTGGGTTGGGGACACTGGTGTAGGGGGGGTGGTCCCCTGAGCCCCCCTGGATGGGGTTAGCAAGGGGAAGGGGGGCTCCAGGGATGGTCACTATGGGGTGGGAGCCCCCTGGGTTGGGGGAGGGTCTCCTGAAACCCCCCTGGATGGGGTTAGCAAGGGGAAGGGGGTCTCTCAGGGCCCCACCGGCAATGGGGGTCCCCCTGAGTTGGGGATGCTGGGGTGGGGGGGGTCCACCAAGTTCACCCAGATGGAGTTTGCAACAAGGGGGTCCCCAGGGTTGGGGATGATGGGGTCCCCTGAGCCCCCCTGGATGGGGTTAGGAAGGGGAAGGGGGTCCCCAGGCTTGGGGATGATGGGGTACCCTGAGCCCCCCTGGATGGGGTTAGGAAGGGGAAGGGGGTCCCCAGGGTTGGGGATGATGGGGTCCCCTGAGCCCCCCTGGATGGGGTTAGGAAGGGGAAGGGGGTCCCCAGGGACAGGGGGATGTTTAACCCCCCTATCTGTGTTCCCCCCCACTCAAGGTCTCCGAGGACTCGGACTGTGACAGCGCAGAGCTCGACCACTCAGGCAGCGGCGAGGGGCCCCCCCGGCCCACAGCCCCCCCGGGCCTGTGACCTGTGTGTGTCCCCCCCTCCACCACCACCACCCCTCACACCCCCACTCCCTGCACCCCCCTCACTTGTACAGCCCCAAATATTTATATAAATATCTATCGATCTCTACTGCGGCTGCTGGCTCGGGGTGGGGGGCACTGCAAGGGTTTTTTTTTTTTGGGGGGGGGGCGGGGGGCTTTGAGGGGCACTGTTAAGTGGTTTGGGGGGGCAGGGGCAGCGGGGCAAAGAACAGGGGGAGAGGGTGTTTTGTCCCCCTCATTTGTTTATGAAGGTCCTACTGTAACAATTCAGGGGAGGGGGTAGAGTATTCAAGGGGCTGAGCCCCACCCAGGTAGTCCCACCCTTTCTTTACTGGTGACACTGGGAACACTGGGCAGTGGCAGACACTTGGAGGGGGGGGAAGATTGTCACCCATGGGATTTTGGGGGGAAAGAAGAGTGAACAGAACCAACTGGGACACTGGTTTCCTTTAAAGACCGGTTTTCAAGGAACTGGGAGAGCAGAGACACCCCCAGAGGATCAAAGTTCCCACCCCAGGACCAGTTTATCCCACTCCAGTGAGACCCCAAAACCCAACTGGGCCGTAGTGGGAGCAGTGGGCCAGTTTATCCCACTCCAGAGGGATCCCTCCTGAGCTGGGCCATACTGGGAGCACTGGGCTGGTTCACCCCACACTCTGGAAGGATCCCAAATACCAACGGGGCTGGTTTATCCCTCTCCTGAGGGAACCCAAATGGGGGCTATACTGGGAGCACTGGGAAGAGCCAAGGGGGTTCAAATAAAGACGGAGACAGGCAGATCCATTAACCAAAATATCCTGCAGGTTCTATTCACAAGGAAAAGCTCCAGTCCATCTTTTTATTCAGTTTTTTTTTGAAAAATTTCCTGACGTTACAGAACTAAACTGAAATGTTTTTTTTTTTTTTTTTTAA